CTCTGTCACCCAGACTGGAGTGCAGTGGCCGCTCCCGGCCACCACAGCCTCGACCTGCTGGGCTCCGGCGATCCTTCCGCCTCAGCCTTCCAAGTAGCTGGAACTACAGGCACGCACCACTATGCCCGGCTAATTTTTTGATTTATTGTACCCGCGGGCTCAGGCAATCCACTCACATCAACCTCCCAAAGCACGGGATTACAGGCTGCAGTTCCTCTTCAGGCATTTTCCTCATATTGATCTACACTCTTGTCTTAATCAACGGAAAAATCCTAATTATGTCAGAAAAACTTTTTAATTAGGAAAAATCCTAATTATGTCAGAAAAACTTTTCACACACTTTTTTTCTCCTAGTTTTGGTTTCATACAAAAATTGAAAAAGCAACCAATCAGCCCTAGGGTAAGCATTTTTTAGACACTTAATACATCCCCCTTCAGAATTTTCTCAAAAGGCTCCATTAACCTCCTCTTTTATTTATCTAGACCTGGGGGTCTCACTCTGTCACCCAATCTAGAGTGCAGTGGCACAGTTATAGCTCACCACAGCCTTGACCTCCTGGACTCAGGCGATCCTTCCACCTCAGCGTCCCCAAGTAACTGGGACTACTGGTGCACCACCACACCTGGCTAATTTTTTTTTTTAAGAGATGGGGTCTTGCTATGTTGCCCAGGCTGGCCTCAGATTCCTGGGCTCAAGCAATCCTCCTGCCTCAGCTTCCCAGAGTGTTGGAATTACAGACGTGAGCCACTGCACCCAGCCTCCATGCTCACTTTTGAATGACAAACACTCAAATTTCAGATAGCTGCATTTAATATTCAAAATACCCATTTGACTTCCTTCCCTCCCTCCCTACCTCCCTCTCCCTGCCTCTACTTCCTGCTTTCCCCTCCTCTCTCTCCTCCTCTCTTTCTGTTCATTCATCCAGTTCAAAAGTCAACCACTATCTCAAGCAGGTTGGTGACAGCAGCCCCTACCAGAACTGGACTGGAGCGGGGTGAGAGGAGCAGGTGGAGGGGAGGAGCTGGCAGGAGGTGGCAGGGTCAGCCCTTGGGTGGGCCAGTGATTGTGTGTGAGGGCGACACTGGAGCAGGGCAGGAGGCAGTCCTGGGGGGTCAGGAGATCGGCTACCTGTGGTGGAATGAACAACTAAGTGTTTTGAGAAAATGGGAGCCAGGCTTCTCACTTAAGAAGGACTGAGTACAATTACAAGGGAGAGCGAGAAGAAACCCTGTCGTACTGGATTATAATGAGCTGTCAGTGTGAATCCTCTATACAGCTATATCAGTATCTATTGTGTACAGAGATACATAGACACAGATATAGATATAACTATACACGCTACATACATATGTATGTGATGTAAAGGGTTGTGTATGTGTGTTCTGTGTGCATGTGTGTGTGTTCACATGTGTATTGTACATATGTTTCCTAATTCTGAACACAGAGGACTGAGAACAACCTGCCAGGAGCAATGAGCACAACTAGTACCTGGATTTTGATTTCTAATCATTATTCTCACCTAAAAGGAACTGGAGCTCCTTGAAGAAATGGCTGCTTTCGAGGCTGGACCATATTTTTGTGCCAGAAAATGAAGTATTCAAAGAATGATGGGAACATGTCAAAAGGGCACAGAAACCAGCTTGAAGCCTATGTAGGTCAAATCGGAGATTATTTGAGCTTCAAAAGTAATGATAAACCAGGCGCGGTGGCTCAAGCCTGTAATCCCAGCATTGGGAGGTGGAGGCGAGAGGATTGCCTGATCTCAAGGGTTCGAGACCAGCCTGAGCAACTTGACGAGCGCTCATCTCTACAATAAATCAAAAAATCAGCCAGGCGTGGTGGCACATGCCTGTGGTTCCAGCTACCTGGAAGGCTGAGGCGGAAGGATCACCCGAGCCCAGCAGGTCGAGGTTGTGGTGGCCATGAGCGTGCCACTGCACTCCAGCCTGGGCAACAGAGCAAAAAAAAAAAAAAGTAATGATAGTAATTGAATACAACAGGGATCCCCTGACCCACACTGAAATAAGTAAAAACGGGAAAGAGAAAGCTTTCTTACAAAAGAACATCAACCAATTAATGTAGATGGATTTTTCAATTATCATTTGGCAACCATTGTAGTAATAATTTGGGCAAAAAATACCAGTGGATGCTAAAACTAGTACGGTTAAGTGGAACGAAGGAATATATTTACATAGTCTCAAAGTATCTTCACAAATCTTTATTCATAAGGAAAAGATATAATTTTACGCTAGAGAAACCTGGCAGACACCATCTGAATCAGGTATCAAAGTTACCACCACCAGCAATGGGACAAATCAACATCACCTGCCATGATGTAGTGAGAACACAGCATCACCTCTGCCATATTCTTGACAAAAATGCACAACCCAGGTTTAATCATGAAGAAATAGTGGCCAAAGCAAAAGTGAATGACAGTCTACAAAAGGATTGCCCGATATTCATAATTGTCAATGCCATGAAGGTCAGGGAAAGATGGATGTTCCAAATGTAAGGAGACTGAAGAGACATGACAGCAGACTGCAGCTCTTGATTTTGGATTGAACCCTTTGGCTATGAATTACATAATTGGAGGAATTAACAAAACTTGAGAGTGATTTCCCACTTGACTGGGATTCTTTGTACTATTCTTGAAACTTTTATTTGGGTTTAAATTATCTCAAAATAAAATTATAAAAGTAAAAATTTCCTATTTTGTTGAATTACACGCATTCAAATGACATTGTCATCTACCTTTAATAGCAAATGGATAACTGTTTATGACTTAAAAATAGTTTTGTGAAGGGTTCAGTGGCTCGTATTTTGGGAGGCTGAGCCAGGAGGATTGATTGAGCCCGGCCTGAGCAACACAGTGAGCCCTCATCTCTGCTGTAAAAAATAGACAAATTAGCTGGGCATGGTGGCACATGCCTGTAGTCCTAACTACTCGGGAGGTTGAAGCAGAAGGATCGCCTGAGCCCAGGAGATTGAGGCTGTGGTGAGCCCTGATCGTTGTGACCATGCCACTGCACTCCAGCCTAGGGGACAGAATGAGACCATGACTCAAAAAAAAAAAAGTTTTGTGGGCTGTTGGTTGTTTTGGGCATCCAACCATTTAAAATGTGTTTTAACTGCACAAATAATACACGAATGGTTATTTGTAATAACCATACATTTAGACAAAATAAAGGGAATGTTTCTCTTGGTCACCTCCTACCCTTATCCAAATTAGTCAACTAGTAGCATGTTGTATTTCTTTCCAAACACTTCTCTATGTTGCAATGTGCTCGTTCATGTCCCTACTATATCCAGCACCTGTCACTCATTCTTAAATCTTATTATCCCATGGTGTCAGTGAGCTATAACCCGTTACCATCCTTGACGAGTATTTAGATCTTTTCCATTTTGATATTACAAACAAAACTGCAGTGAACCTTTGCACATGTTCTGTATATGTGCAAGTGTTTGTCTAAGGAAGATGTTAAAAGTAGAAGTGCTAAATCAAAAGGCATGCTCATTTAAATCTTGATGTTGCTAATTAAACTATCTTTCCACCAGTGTACAAGAATTACTGTGCCCTTTATCTTTCATTCTCAAATCTTAATCTTTTTTCACAATATGAAAGGTGAAAATGTTTTCATTGGAATTTTTCTGATTACGAATGAAATTTAATAACTTGCTGGGTTTAATGAAACAGTCTCACTTCCTCTTCTGTGACTTGTCCGTTCATAATTTTTGACTATTTTTCTTTCTAACTAGTTGTATTGTGGTCACCCTAGAGAAACAGGCTAGACATCCCTCCCCTCCAAGAAACTTGGTTTCGGATGTGGAGACTGATGACACTTCATCCACCCCAAGAGCAGACGGGGAGGTTTATTCCCATACGGTGAGGCTTTCTGGAGAGAGCACAGTGGCTTGAGAGATCAAGGAAAAGAGACTGGTGTGGGGCTTTTATTGTGGTTAGGAGCGGGCCAGGGTTTGCAAGGAGGGGCTTACACAGTTTGAAAGTCCTGCTGGCACCCAAGGGAGCATCTAGGTTTCCTTCCAGCTCACCTAGATGTGGACAGAACAGGAGGTGGGAGAAGTGAGGCTTGACACTTGAGGGGAAACCTCCAAAGATGGAGTCAGACTCTGTGACAGGTTATTTAGCTACTGGTGATTGGTACTGGCAGTCCGCAAACTCATGTCGCTTATTTTCCATAACTGATTCTTCTTTGCCTTTGAGTCTTCCGGAACAGTTGTGTAGACATTCTCTCCCTCCTCTTCCTTGCAAGACTGGCTTCCAGGTTTCGAGGAAGCTTTACATGACCTCACAGCGAGGGAAGGGGGCGCCGGTGCCATCTTGCTTCCGGGACTCCCTCTGCAACGGTGGCTGGTCTGTCCTGACCGTGGTGCAACTTGTACTTTCTGGTGAAGCACACTTGGTGAACGTGTGGTTTGCTCGTTCTGTGCACCGCCCTGTGGTCACTGCCAGCTAACTCAGCCTCAACTCGGCCACGGGCGCCTTTAGGATCTGCTGTCATGCCTGAGCCCCTAGGAGCGACTGTTCAGTGTCTTCCATGATTTGACTTTATTGATGTCACTTTTCATACTGGGGATTTTTCTTTGTAATGTAGTCAAATTTTATCATCTTCAACCTTTTTTTTTTGTACTTTGTTTTAAAGAAGGCTTCTACTTCTATAAAGCCATAAGCATTCTCATATTTTCCTTACTTTCATAGTTTTCTTGTAAATATTTAGGCTTTTAATCCATCTTTTGATGAATGTTTGATAGGGACCTAGCTTGATAGTTTTATAACTGGCCACTACAACCCATCTTTTCACCACTAATTTGAAATGACATTTTAATCATTTCCCATATAGGTACAAGTCTGCCAATTTTTTTTTTTTTGAGTTGGAGTCTCACTCTGTTACCCAGGCTTACAGCCACTGCAGCCTCAACCTCCAGGGCTCAGATGATCCTTCTGACTCAGCCTCCCAAGCAGCTGGAATCACAGGCACACACCACACCTGGTTAATTTTTTGGTTTACTGTAGAGACCAGGTCTTGCCATGTTGCCCAGGCTGGTCTCGAACCCCTGGACTCAGGCAATCCTCTTGTCTCTGCCTCTCAAAATGCTGGGACCACAGGCGCAAGTCACCGAGCCTGTTTTCTAAGTTGTTTAGCCTGTTCTAGTGCTCTATTTCTAGGCCCTTATTGAACTGTTAAATGTTATCTTTATACTATGTCCTAATAGCTGTCAATATCTTTGTCATTTTTCAAGTTTGGTATTGATAATTTTTCCTCCAAACTTTAGGACATTGTCTATCTAAAAATATTAAAGATTCTGCCAAGATTTTCATTGGAATTAAATTTATAAATTAATAAATAACGAAGCTTTTTGCAGGCGTCTCTTCTTCTGGGACATCTTTATCCATCTGTCACAACTATTTTCCTCATTTATGTTGATGATTTGGCCTTGGCTGTTCTTCAGGGTGTGTATCTAGAGTTTCTCAAACAGCAGCAGCATCAGCACCTCCACAGCCAGCTAGTTCTTCAGGAATTCCGTATATGTTCAATTTGAATTCCACTTCCAGTGTTGTCATGTTTTGTTCCTCTGGTGCACTTTGTTATTAGTCAATTTCCACTTTTGATTACCCATTTTTGTAATCAAAACAGGAGGCATGGAGACAGCTATGCTTTGCTGTCTATTCATAAAATGAACACCACCAGATGTGCAGCAACCAATCACGAGCACACTTTGAGAGAAGCGATGCAATTAGTCTCGTATTAATCTCCTATGACTGTAGAACCAATTATCACAAAGGTACTGTCTCAAAACAACACAAATGATTGTCTTATGGTTCTGAAGGTCAGAAGTCCAAATGGGCTTAACTAGGCGAAAATCAAGGTGTTGGCAGGGCTACATCCCTTCTGTAGGCTCCAGGGGAGAATCCATTTCCTTGCCTTTTCCAGTTGTTAGAGGTCTCCTACATTCCTTGGCTCATGGCCCCTTCTTCTGTCTCGGAAGCCAACACTGTAACATCTTCAAACCTCTGTTTCTGTTGTCACATCTCCTCCGGCTCTGACCATCTGCTTACCTCTTATAAAGACTCTGGTGACTACATTGCAGCCACCCAGATAGTCCAGGGTCACCTCTCGTCTCGGGATCTCTGACTTAATCACATCCACAAAGTTCCTTTTGCCATGTAATATAACAGTTACAATTTCATCTGTTATTTACATAGTGATCTGTGGCTTGAAGAGCTACCAGCGAAGTTTGACTTTTATGTGGTTATCCGCAGTTCTTCTCTTCCATTAACTGAAATCTAAATTGTGTTGTAGAGGGACTCGGGTTATTAAGTAAACCACAGTAGCTGGAATTTGTGCTCTTCTGAGTCATGCAGAGCTGGGACTGCCGGTTGTGAGCCCAGCTGATAGGTCAGAGGATGAGAAAACACATGTGTCCCCACGCAGGGCCATGGCTGCAGAGCGTGAGGTAGAGGAGACTTGTGTTTGCCCTCATACTGGAAGAACATTCACAGGTAAATGGAGCTTTCTCAAGCCCACCAGAATACCGACAGCACTACGACCTTTTGAGAAACATGGTACAGGTGAATATGGAAAAACTCAAGAAATAATTGCACGTCTTCCTCTTGTCTTTGACATCTTCTGCCCAGTCTCCTCCACCTGGAAAACAAGCTCTCTTATGCATTAATACTCAACTACTAATAATGCATTGTGCTTTACTTATAAAGCTTAAATTATCTTTTTCTTTATCCTGATTAATAGATATAAAAGAGCTCTTCTGAGAACTGATTAACAATATAATACGCACTTCCTATATTCTCGTTGTAAATAAGGAACACAGGTTTTTGATACTCCTAGAACCAATACAATTTTAAAAAAATTAAACGGACATAAAGTTTCTCATAAATTAATTTTATTTCAACAGCCAAAGGTCAGCTCTACACCTCTGATCAGGTTACAAAGCACAGTCTTTTTAGCATGGTATTCTCACCAAGCCACAAACACAGAAAGAGGCGCCAAGGGACTGATCAGGGGATATTTTCCTTCTCTGGTAGAATTATATTTAACTGTAATAAAAACTTCTGCTCTTACAGAACAGGATACTTCTTGAAGAGGCATAGCTTATCTTATACACATAAGTATCCCAAATACTTTCATTGTATGAATTAGGGAGGAAAAAGAAACAAGAAATAACACTTCACAAAAATTCATTCCAAGATTCCATCCATACCAAGTCTCACCACTTTATTGAATTCATAATTTATTAGTTAGTGCTGTTTTAAAATACTATTTCAATAGTCTTAAGTTAATATGGGAGAGGAGAAAAATCCCAGTGTGGGGCGTAAGTGAAACCGCGTCCTCATCTGCCCGAGGCTCCCGTGGGCCACCAGCGTCTCACCCCAACAGCCGAAGAGGCCGCCGGCCAGCAGCTCCATTTTCTTCAGGCTCAACCAGACACACAAGGACCCGAAGCGCTAAGTGCATATTTTAAGCATCTGTTCTGAACATGTTTAAAGCCACATTAATTATAAATAAAGGCACATTTGCAGATACTCTTTGAGAGTGAAAATAATCATTATACTTGGTATTTCAACTTTCCCCACCCCAAAAACGTTTTCTGATGCTACAGAGAATGGATCTGATACACATTTGGAAAGTCTCCCTGTGGAATCACTATCTCACGTCCATCAAGACTCGAGGGTTTGTTTTCCTGAAGTAGGTGACAGGGCAGCCTCTGTTCTTCCCAGGTGACCAGAGACAACTCCATCAACCGCTCAGTCACACATCAAAGTCCTTCAGCTCTCCCCAGCTAGCACCAATTTTCACTTTCACTTGCAGTTTCACAGAAAGTTTCATGGCATTTTCCATTTCATTCTTGACAATCTGAGCCACCTACCAAACAAAAAATGAGGTTAACAAAATCTCTGCCCAATCAAAGAAGGCTTCCCAACCACCCGCTGGAGAAGGCAAGAAGCCAGACGGAGCACTTCATCCAATGGGGCTTAAAACATGAAGTCAGAAAAAAGCCACACATCTCAAACTGCTCTTCGCTGGTGAGCAGGGGCTTCTAGCAAATTTGCTGGAACTCTTGGAGCTTGGAACATTCAGGGCAAGACTCCAAAGTCTTGTCTAATTTCTCCCACACAAAAACATCTCTGCATCAGGAATATAAGAATGAGTGTAAAACAGCATGCTTGGCTCCTTTTCTACATGCATACAGGACTCGGCATTCATGCAGCCACCCTGGGGCTGGGGTAGGGCTCCACAGCCCTCAAGCCTCGGAAAGAGCGCTGCCAGCCTGGCTGCCAGCCTGGCCCAGCGAGCCTTGGCTTCGAAGGGAACGGGCAGAAGCAGTGGTACCTGCACAGCATCCTCCTCGGCCACTTCGTATAAGAGCTCATCATGCAGCTGAAGGATGAAGAAGCCTCCTCTCATTGGGCAGAACATTCCCTGCAGCTTTCTCTTGGACAACAAACCTACCCCAAGAAAGAAGCAAAACCGACCAGCATGTCACTGTGCATAGGAGAATGTTTTTTAGAGATTTTTGAGACACCCTGGGGAATTTTAATTTAGAACTATCTGGAAAATAACTACTTGCTGGTTGCTGTCTACCTACACATCAGAGAAACACAAGTGTCCACCAACCTCCCTCCCAGAAAAAAAAGTCTAACAAAGAAGTCAGTAAACGGGGTGTGAAAAACTCAGCTCCAAATCTTAGTCTAACTTATTTCTCACAAGCAACTAATATTTTCTCTTTCCACGGAGTCCCCCACTGTCACTAAGTAATAGCGCCGGGGTGGAATGGAGCCTGGGTCCCACCTCAGGAACATGAACTAGTATTGCTAGCCAATGTTTTATAAGGGGGACATTGTCAATGTCTTTTCATGGCAGGAAGTGTCTCCATGGCAGAACTTTGGCTTCCCCAATTGGGCCATACACTCTAGACAAGTAATTCCAAACCTAGGGTCCAAATGTGGGCTTCAGAGTGTGTGCAACTCTGGTGAGGTTAGGTGCCAGAGTCTACATGAATTTTCTGTGGAGATGAGCATACCTTTCAGTAGACTCTCAGAATGCACGACTCCAAAGCGTCCATGACTTAGTCACCATTTCCTAACCAGGTGGGCCTAGTGGTGAGTCGACGCCCTGTGAGCACCAGGCAGAGCTCACACGGACACCCGCTGAGCGCCTGCCTCGCCTGGCCCGCCCGCTGTCACAGCAGGCCTCCTTTCTGCCAGCCCAACTCCCAGCTTTGCCTTCAGGCCCAGCACGAGATCCAGCGCCCTCAGAAACAGCTGCTCACTGTCACTGTCTGCAGCTCAAGTTTGCTCAGAGGTGGCTCCCAGGGCAGCAGAGGCTGCCGCAGGCTGCTGCCACACAGGAGCTGTGGAGCCCTTCATGTGCCCGTGGTGCGGTGAAGTGGCCTGCCCCGTCAGGCCCACTTGGCTCACAGTGCTGCCATCTAAATGCTCTAGTTCTTCTGCTTTCTGAGGCCCACACTTGGTCCTCTTGATTTTCCCCAGTTGCCTGGTTTCTGACCCAGAATGCTGTGATCCTCTTGCGCCATGTAGTCTGCTTCCCTAGGCTCACCTCCCTCCGATCCACTGGCCTACCCTGCCTCTGCCCGGCGTCAGCCCAGGACGTCCTCCTCAGTGGCAGACCCATGATGCTTCACACTCACTTGTGGAGCTGTTACTGTCCACCCACATCCTCACTCTGACACTCATCACTCTGCTGTGTAGAGGTAACACAAGCATCTCAATCAGGTAGCATATCTTTCCCTTCTTTCTTACGTAGGTTTTAAATTCAAACACAGGTTGATAACCTTTACTTCTAAATTCTCCAAAGCACATAGCACAGTGTTAGTCCCCAAACAAGTCTGATTGTACATTCTCTCTCCATAAATATTAAAGACCGTGTGTGTGTGTGTGTGTGTGTGTGTGAGTGTGTGTGTGTGTGTGTGTGTGTGTGTGTGTACACATATCCCCACACTCAAAATGAATGAGCAGCCTGAGATATGTTGAGAGGGGTGGAAGACAGTAAGATTAACAAGCCACATTTAATAAGCAAATGAACTTATTTTTTTTCGAGTCAGAATCTCACTCTGTCACCCAGGCTGGAGTGCAGTGGCATGCTCATGACCACCACAGTCTCAACCTGCTGGGCTCAGGCGATCCTTCTGCCTCAACCTTCCAAGTAGCTGAAACCACAGGTGAGCACCACCATGTGCGGCTAATTTTTTGATTTATTGTAGAGACAAGGTCTTGCCATATTACTCAAGCTGGTCCTGAACCCATGGGCTCAGGCGATCTCCTCACCTTCACCTCCCAAAGTGTTGGGATTACAGGCATGCACCACCACACCTAGCTAATTTTTCTTGATTTATTGTAGACATGAGGTCTTGCCATATTGCTCAGACAGGTCTCAAACCCCTGGGCTCAGGCAATCCTCTCACCTCTGCCTCCCAAAGTGCTGGAATTACAGGAGTGAGTCACCACACCCAACTTGAACTTTTTAATCTATGTACTTCTGCATGTAAGTGAACATCTCTATATCTAAAACTGGCTGCATTATTCTCTATAGCCTAGGTGTATGCCCTTCTAGAAACAGCAAACCCCATCCTCAACAGCTGACAGCTACCTCTCTGCCCTCTCCAGCAGCCTGTTCTTCCTCTTGTTGGCCCCAAATCATCTTAATTTCTTCCCAGGAAAAAATTTTAAATATGCCTACTGTCATGAGTTGATAATCTCTGTGTGGTGAAATGGCACTTAAAGCATCAGTATAGACATGTGACAGAAGAGAAAAAGGGGATGTTCTCTATACTTGTTAGAACAAGAAATAATGTACCCTTGTATTAAGGAGAGAACTTGGAGAAAATATTTTGAAAATAAGAGCAAGAAAAGATGGCAATATAAGCAAAGGAATGTATGTGAGAGGAACATTTATGAAGGTCATAAAGAGGAAAATAAACATGTTCTTATGATCTGGGGACCACAGAGGAGCCCAAATCTGCAAAGTCAAAATGACTCATGATAGTACCACGAGGTGATTTGCCTTTTTCTATCTCATACTCCCATCAGTGTACAGGAAGGTGACCAACCATTCTGGTTTTAGAAGTGAAATCCCCACGTCCTGGGAAACCTATCTGTCTCCCAGATTGGTACATGTATCATTGTAGATTATACAAAGGGTTTTCCAGAGGTTAAGGACATATGGTATTGCAGGACTGAATGCAGAAGCAGACAAGAGAATCCAGCTGTCTTCTCTTAAGCAAGACATTAAAGAGATTTACAGAAATGCAAACTAAAGTCCACCCCTCACTCATTTTCTTTTGTTCTGAAAAGGTGGAGTTATTTTCATAAAAAGATGTTATTTACGTTAAAATATGGCAGGTTTATTATTATAAATCATAATAAATGTATTAAAATACCCTGCTTTAATTTCGAATATGGTAAATAGTATATAAAACTCACATAAGCAAAAGCTCTTTGGAATCTTTAATAATTCCTAAGAATATAAAGACATCATGAGACCAAAACAGTAGAGAACTTTTGAGAAATAAAGTGTAAAATACCTTCCCTTTTCTGATACAAATATTCTCACCATTTTATAGCAGGGCCTCATCTATGAACAAACCTAGTCTGTCACTATGGAGTATACCTTCTCGATGACCATGGGACTTGAAGATTGGGTGGCAGGTCTCTAATTGCTTCTGAATGTTAACTGTGGCTATTTTGACAATATCAGCTGCTGATCCTTGGACTGTTGTGTTGATAGCCTGCCGTTCAGCCTACAGAAACAACAACAGGTGTTCCATCAGACATCCCATCATGGTTCCATACTTCCCTCAGAGTTCACAGATCAGGTGCTCACATCTTCAGCCAGACTGGAAATCTGGACTGAGATGTGACCCAGAACAGCAATAAGTAGGCTGCATCCTAAGAATAACAACTATGATCCAGGGTTCTGGATTCTGGGCCATCCACAAGAGGACAGACTAAACATAAGAAGGACAGATTGCTAGGGATTAGAAATCTTGACTACTAAGTTACAAGCAAAAACTGTACTACACTTAGAATGGATTTAGTAGCTAAAAATTATTTCATTTTACGAACATATATCATCAATGTTCTAACTGTCCTCAACATCATTCTAAAGGATCTACATTCTTCAAAATACTCTTAATCTAAATAGAGATAGTAGAATACCATTCTTTGTGATGTGAGCTGGAATGTCCAAAGCACACCCTCACCCAGTGGCCTCTTGGTCCTATGTGGAGTTTGGCTGCAGCAGGGTTGGAGTCCTCTGCTATGAATCAGAGATTTTCATGGGCTGCTGAGGCCATTCACTAGCTGCTAGTGAAAATGCAGGTCCTGGATCCCTGCGTATCGACTTAGAATGTCCCTGAAAATATTGCTACAGAGTGCTCCTTGGCAGGACACCATGCCTGCTAAAAATAATCAGCTTGGAAGAGCAGGGGAGCGGGTCTGGGTTAATACTCATGCGTAATCTATCCATGTCACTCCTGGTACCCCTAAATGTCTACTCAGGGAGAGGGCCAATGTAATTTGAGAGGTGTTCTTGAATTCCCTGCTACCCTACCTCCCACCACCTTCTAGTATATTAAATACCTGTTAGAGAAATAGACTTTTTTTAAAAGTCAGTTGTTTTGTCAAATACTGATGAAGCTACTGTAAACTCATGCAGCAATCATTCTTGAAACTGGATGCCTTTGTGCAGCGGGTTGTATCATTGTTTCCATTACTTGCTGCCTTTCTCTGTGATCTTTCAGAGACCCCCCCCCCCCCGACTGCCATGTGATTTGAAGTGCTAATCCATGTAAAGGGTGGCCTGGACTTGTTTTGGCCAGTGAAATTTATGACTGACATATAGCACATCTGAGAAGTTTTAAGAGCGATCCAAAACTGCCACACACATGTACACACACACACACACACACACACACACACACCATATACTACAGAGAGCTACAGTCCCCAGCATCAAACAGTAACATTAATGAAAAATTAAGTTTCTTATTATAAACACTGAAATTTGGGGGTTAATTTACTGTAACATAAGCAAGCAAAAACATGACTAACATATACTTCACACTCATAATGCTGTACTTCTCTGAGGCTCTTCCAGATTAAGAAGACTTGGCAGTATTAGCTTTGTGTTTCACAACACTCTCATGTTTCTCAAAGTTCTTCCATCACCAGGACTTTCGATGACATAAAAAACACGGGTTTCTGGTCATGGAAGACCAGGCATTTAGGAGCACCCACCCACTGACAGTATCTCAGTCAGAAAAGCTGGACAGAAAATGCCTCTTTGCATGAACCAGACAGCCAAAGAGGAAGTGAAGGATTATAGAAACTAGAGATCTGGTAGAGAAAGCACCAAGGGAAGTGATCCTGGCATTGGAGGCCACCCTTTCTCCCAGGAGAAGTACCAGATTCCAGATGACACAGCTGACAGGCTAAAAAGCTGAGTTGATCTTCTGAAAGCTTTGAGGAGTTTGAGGAACACACACTTGAGCTCAGGGCACAATAAGTAGAAAAAGGCCTAGTAAACCATCAGCTTGCAGCACCTCAGGAAGAAAGACAGACACAGTCTGGCTCTTATGGCCTTGCTTCTCCGCTGCTGGGGTAGGATCAGAATAAAGCCTGTGTGGTGGGTCATTCTAGTTTCCCACAAGACACAAAAGCAAATCCTCTCTGAATACAAGTAGCATCATCTGCAAGCTTCAAACTACCTCCATAATCTTTCACATGTTTAATGTTTAACTGTCAATAAAAAGTAACCAAGGCGAGGAGATGAGACAATATAAATATTTTTATAGAAACTAAGAAAACCAAAAGGCAAAAAGAGCACATTACAGAAATACAAGTATTAGGTCTATGAGATTCAGATTATAAGTTATTATCAAACTTAGACTATATAATAATCATGCTTAATATATTCAAGGAAATAAAAGAGACAAAATTGAGTAACTCAGTGGAGAACCAAATACTATACAGTCAGAATAAAATAGAAACTCTAGAATGGAATTATAAAATTATCAGAACTTAAATGCTAAATAGATGTTAAAATAGCAAAATTTGAAGAGTAAATCAGTAAATTGGAAAATAAGTTAAAAGAAAATATTCAGAGAAAACTATGATGAAACATAAACATGAAAAATACAGGACAGAGGATATGAAACATGAGTTTTAAAAAAAAAGTTTCAAAGTTTACAACACCTGTTCCAGAAACAAACTGAAGAATAGTAGGAAGCAATAACTGAAGAAGTAATGGCTAAGAATTTTTCAAAATCAATAAAAGACATCAAGCCATGGATTTAATAAGTCCTAATACCCTCAGGAAGGATTAATTAAATACACCATCACACACAGGCACATCAATCAGAAAAACACACACAGGTACATCATAGAAAATCTGCTAGAAATCAGACAAAAGTGAAAATATGGTATTAAAAAATCTTCCAACAACAAAAAAGTCCAGGGCCACAGCCAAATTCTACCAAACATAAACAGAAGAATGGTACCAATGCTCCCAAAACTCTTGCCCAAAAATGAGGAGAGAATCCCCCCTAACTCATTCTAAAAAGTCAGTATATGACCCTGACACCAAACCCACACAAGGACACAACAACAAAAACTACAAATCAATATCCCTGTAAACATAGATGCAAAAATCCTCAACAAAATCTTAGCAAACTGAATCCATCAGCACATTAGGAAGATAATACACCGTGATCAAGTGGGTTTTATTCCAGGGATGCAAGGATGCTTCAACATACATAAATCAATAAACATGATTCATCATGTAAACAGAAAAGCAAAAACCATAGAATCACCTCAATAGATACAGAAAGCACTTCATAAAATTCAGCATCTCTCATGATAAAAATCATCGACAAACAAAAGCATCAAAGGAACACACCTCAAAATAATAAATGCTGTATGCAACAAACCCATCACCAGCAATCATATTGAACAGGGAAAAGCAATCCTCCTAAGAACTGGAATAAGACAAGGGTGCCCATTTTCATCATGCCTACTCAACAGAGCACTGGAAGCTCTTGCCAGAGTAATCAGGCAAGAGAAAAAAATAAAAGACATCTAAATTAGAAAAGAGGAAGTTATCTGTTCCCTGACAATAGAATCTTACACCTAGAAAACCTTAAAGACGCCTCCAAAATTCTCTTAGGTTTGATAAATGAATTCAGTAAAGTTTCAGGATACAAAATTAACATTAAATAAATCAGTAGCATTTCTATACACCAATAATGTTCAAGCTAAGAACCAAATCAAGATGGCAATTCCATTTATAATAGTTATGAAGGTCGGGTACAGTAGCTCATGCTTATAATCCCAGCACTTTGGGAGGCAGAGGCGAGAGGATTGCCTGAGCCCAGGGGTTCAGAACAAACCTGGGCAACATGACATTGACCTCGTCTCTACAATAAATTTAAAACTTGGCAGGACATGGTGGTGCATACCTGCAGTTTCAGCTACTTGAAAACTGCACCTAAGCCCAATAGGTTGAAGCTGAAGTGGCTGTGAGCATGCCACTGCACTCCAGCCTGGGCAACAGAGTGAGACTCCCAACTCAAAAAAAAAGCTATGAAAAAATTTATAAAAGGCCTAGGACTATATCTAACCAAGAAGGCCAATGATCTCTACAAAGAAAACTACAGAACACTGATGAAAAAAATTGTAGATATCACAAACAAATGGAAAAACATACAGTGCCTCTGGATTGGAAGAATCAACAGTTAAAATGACTATATTGCTGAAAACAATCTACAGATTCAATATAATCCCTATCAAGATACTAATGTCATTTTTTTCACAAAATTGGGGGGAAAAATCCTAAAATTCATATGGAACTGAAAAAAAAGAACCAGAATAGCCAAAGTAATTCTAAGCAAAAAGAATAAAACCAGAAACATCATGATATCTGACTTCAAATTATACTACAAGGCTATATTAACCAAAACTACATGGTACTAGTATAAAAATAGACATATAAACCAATAGAGAACCCAGAAATAAAGCCATATATCTACAGTAACTGATCTTTGAAAAAAGAAAACAAAAACATGCTGGGAAAGGATCTTCTTAGCCAGGAATGGTAGCTCATGCCTTTAATCCCGGCACTTTGGGAGGTGGAGGTGAGAGAATTGCTTGAGGGGTTCGAGACCAGCCTGGGAAACTTGGTGAGACCTCGTCTCTACAAAAAGTCAAAAAATTAACCAGGCATGGTGGCACATGCCTGTAGTTCCAGCCACTTGGAAGGCTAAGGCGGAAGGATCACCTGAGCCCAGAAGGTTGAGACTGAGTGTGCCACTGTACTCCAGTCTGGGCAATAGAGTAAAACTCTGACTCAAAGAAAGAAAAAAAGAAGAAAAAAACCACTCTTTTCCGTAAATAGTGCTGGAAAAATTGAACAGCTGTATGTAGAAGACTGAAATTAGGCGTCTATCTCTTACCATATACAAAAATTATCTCAGGATGGATTAAAGATTTAAATGTAAGACCTGAAACTAAAATTACTAGAAGAAAATCTAGAGAAAACTGAACATGGATTTAGAAAAATGAAAAATAATTTATAATTAAGACCTCAGAAATACAAGCAACAATAACAAAAATAGATAAAGGGAACATTTGTACAAGCAAAAGGAATAATCAACAGAGTGAACAGAAAACCTGCAGAATGGGGAAAAAATATTTGCAAACTATGCATCTGATAGGGGACTAATATCCAGAATTTACAAAGAGCTCAACTTGACAACAACAACAGCAAAACAAACAACCCCACAAAAAGTAGATGAAAGACAGGTAGACATTTTTCAAAAGAAGACATACAAATGCCCACAGGCATTTTTAAAAAATGCTTAATATCAGAAATCATCAGAGAAACACAAATAAAAACTACAGTGAGATAATATCTTACACCAGTCAGAATGGCCATAATTAAAAACTCAAAAAATAAGAGACACTGGCAAGGATAAGGAAAAGGAACACTTATACACTATTGGTAGTAATGTAAATTAGTATAACCTTTATGGAAAACAGTAAGGAAATTTCTCAAAAAACTAAAAATAGAACTACCTTTAGACTCAGCAATCCTACTACTGGGCTGGTACCCAAAGAAAAAAAATCATATAAAAAAATACCTGCATTTGTATGTTTATTGCAGCACTATTCATAATAGCAAAGATATGGAACCAACCTAAGTGTTCATCAATGGGTAATTGAATAAAGAAAATATCCAACTGGATGTGATATATATAATATACACAATGGGATACTATTTAGCCATAATAAAGAATGAAGTCATGTCTTTTGCAGCAACATAAATGGAACTGGAGACCATTATTTTAAGTGAAACAACTCAGAAACAGAAAGCCAAATACCGCACGTTCTCACTTATAAGTGGCACACAGACACAGTGTGGAATGATAGAAACTGGAAACTCACAAGGGTGGTGGGATGGGGAGGGTGAGGAATAAGAAATTACTTAATGAGTGTGATGTACATTGTTTAGGTGACTGTTCCATTAAACTCCCAGACTTCACTACTACACAATATATCCATGTATCATAACTGCATTTGTACCCCTTAAATTTATACAAATTTTAAAAATAAAATAAAATAGAAACAACTGGGGGGGGAGGCTTATTACAATTAAAGGAGCAACAATTAGACCAGAGGTTGGCAAAGTACAGCCTAAAGTCAAAATTTGGGCTGCCTTCTCTTTCTGTAAATAAAGTTTTATTGGAACATAACCATAGTCACTCATTTATGTGCTGACCATGACTGCTTTTGCAGTACAACTGCAGAGTTGAGTGCTTATGACGGAGACACTATGGCCTACAAACACTTCCTCTATCTGATATAGGCACTGTCAAAGACCTAAATCAAAGTTATACTTACTGGTAAAATTTAAAATTTTAAACTTTAAGATCCAAAAAGAGGCAAAGATGCTTCTTTTCAACATTGTCTTACCTCTACTCAGTGTTATTTATCCTAAGCCAGTAAATCAAGTAAAAGTAACAACAGCAACAAATAGGTCTAAAAAGGCAGTTATAAAATTGTACTTCCTTGCAGATAACTGTGTAGATAGTATCTATAGATAAATTATTGAAATCAGTAAATATTATTTGCAAGTTTCTAGACAAAAGAAAAGCAAGGCAAGCAGTTGTATTTCCATGTAACAGCAGCAAATGCTTACCAAAAAAAGCTTTTAAAAAAAGTATAAAAGATACCATTTACAATAGCATGAAAATTTTACCAAACAATAAATCTAAAAGTAAAAAAGTATAAGATCATTTCCCCTAAACTATACAAGGTTATTGAAAGAACTGAAAACCTAATAAACTGAATAAATGAGCAAATATACAAGGGAGGGACCCCCCAAAAAACCCCAGAATTTACTTATAAAAAATTGTGTATTTATTCTTACATGTTTAAACTTCAGTCACCTTCAAAGTACTCTCCGTTTGATGCAATACACCTCTCAAGACCTTTTCCCACTGCTCAAAACAGTTTTTGAACCCGTCGATTTTGATGCCTTTTAGTGCATCTGTCATTTTTTGTTTCACCTCTTACACATTGGCAAAATGTTTCGCTTTGAGGACATTTTTCATCCAGGGAAACAACCAAAAAAAGTAGCTTGAGGGAAGATTGGGTAAACAGGGAGGGTGGGACATAGGGGTAATGCCGGTTTTGGTCTGAAAACTGCTGAACATCCAACGCGGTATAGGTAGGTATGCTTGTAAATCACCCGTCATGAAACAGGCAAATACATTGAAGGACTCTCTGAGAAAAAATCCACTGAAGCTGAATGCAGTCTCATATCAGGGCTGGCTGGTGCACTGATGCCAATGGAGTCCTAGATCACTTACCTCGCAGGGGAAGCCTGTATTACAAGGGGTCTGCCCTCCAAAAAATAATTACAGATTTTTGGGGTGTCCCCTTTCTATGATTGATTTATATTAATAACTCTATACTCCATTTTTAATTGTGTAAATCACAAGATACATAATCATTTCCTGTTAGGTCAAGTCCAAATTTTTCAGCCTGCTGTTAAAGGCCTTCTAGCTTTTAGAAAAAGCTTTTTCGCCTTCTAGCTTCTAGCTGGTTTCATCCATCCAGTAGAAAATTATCTACCCCTGAGTGACAGCTCAAACTCTCTACTCCTACCAGGTTGGCTTCCAGCCAGTCCTCAATCAGTTATCCTTTTGTGATTATCTTTTTCTCATTCTCACCAACCTAAGTTTTAAATAGCTTTCAAGAATCTGTTTGAGTCGTACCTCCCTAAAGCCAAAATAACTGATATTTAATATAGAAATGATGTTTTTGTAAACTTTTTGTTTATCTCTTCCAAGACTTAACACTTATGTTTCCTAGTGTGTCAACTAAGTGACTAATTCATTTAGAGATGTGGTAAATGCCTGATAAACATACGACATCTGCATATGGCCCTGTGGGAAGCTAGAGAGTGAAGAAGCAACAAAAAGCCAATGATTCCTCCATGGTCCCTCAAAGTATTAGTGCTCTGAAAGCTTTGGGCTCCAGACAGAAGGTTTTTCTGTTTGTTTGTTTGCTTTGCTGTGTGTTTTTTGGGGGGTTTTTTTTGGAGTTGGAGTCTCACTCTGTCACCCAGGCTGGAGTGCAGAGGCACACTGCTCACAGACCATAGCCTCAACCTGCTGGGCTCAGGCAACCCTTTCGTCTCAGCCTTCCAAGTAGCTGGAACTACAGGCGCAAGTCCCCACGCCTGGCGGTAATTTATTGTAGAGACGAAGTCTTGCCATGTTGCTCAGGCTGGTCTCAAACCCCCGAGCTCAGGCAATCCTCTCATCTCCGCCTCCCAAAGTGCTGGAATTACAGGTTTGAACCACTGCGCCTGGCCCAGGCAGAAGTTTAACTGGATATTTTTATTACATACAATGTGTAGTGAACACTAAAACACAAAATTTTGGGAGAAGGACAAAATATAACCAGTTAAAATAGAAAGATTTGGACTATAACAGAAACATGAATACTCAGGTACATAGAATACTTTTATGAATCCCAATGATTTCAGGAAAAAATGTCAATAAGTCTTTTAACTGATGTTAAAAAAATAGCCTTGTTCGATATTTTGGGTATCCTAATAACCTCTGATGAGAGGTGCTTTTAAAACAAGCAAACAAGTAGGATGAACCAAAAAAAAAAATCACAATTTAGTGACTGCCTAAACTCTGAAGAACATTAACAATCTGGTATGATATGACAAATTAGTATATGGTATCTGAAACAGAAAAATTAGCAAATCCAAGAATTAAGTTTATTTACAACTTATTACCAAAGCTAATAAATAATTGCCTTACTGCAACAGAATTTCTTGAATTGAAGCATTATTAAGTGAACCTATGTTTACATTAGCCTCCCAAAGACTGCGCTCAGCAAATATTGGCATGTGCCATCACTTCAGAAGTGCTTAGTGAAACAATGGTTGACCTCGTATACACAGAAGATCCAATTAGTATGCTAGTAATCCCTAAAAGGGACATTAGTAGTATTTAGTCTTTGTTGAAAAAGTACATGTCATTAAAATATTAAGTTAAAAATGCAGAGAAATTTCAACATACGTGAGCTTTATGATAAGGGTTGTTGTCTTTGATTCCTGGCAAATATCTACGTCTTCCCAAAATGGTCTGAACAAACCCGTCTTTTTTACAGTTCTTCACTGTCTCTCTCATAAAATGACTAATCCCTACAAAGAAAATACAGAAATACTTAATTACAACCAAAGCCTATCCTTCATTTCATTCACTGGTTTAAATATAGTGAAATATACCAAAAGTCGACTGTGAGATCACATCACCAAACAATGCATACAAACTTTCATTCACTTTTTTAAGACTCAGACAGTCAGTAAACAAAAGAGACTTTAGAAATGGCATAATCTAACCCTATCTTGGTTTTTTGAGCAACAACAACAAAACAAAGTTCCAGGACAGAGCAAGTGACTAGGTGTTTTAACCCTAGGACCTTAAGACTATTCCACACCACTCTTCACAGGTTTCTGATCTTTGATTAAATGAATCCCCTTTTACTCTTTGACCTTATTATTTCCAGGCTTAAAACATTTCAATAGCTCCTTGTTACCACCCATACTATAAAATTAATGCATGCGTTATAATAATTATATCACTAGGAACATATATGAGCCACTTCTTAAAATTAAAAAAGACTATGTATAATGTAGTATTCAAATGCATATGTATTCCTTAGACCAGCATTCATACTTTGCAATCTAGGTTGGTTATTATGTCTTATAGATCTCCAGGATGAATCTTTTGCTATTGGTGTTATCTGATCACTACTGCAGGAATTTCAGAAAGCATTCAGAGTCTCATCTTTTTCCTTTAAGAATTACTGCAATATTGTTCAGTGAAGAACAAAGGAAAGAATGCAGTTTAAGACGCTGTACCTCTACAAATTCTCTCACCTAACTTCTATAGGAGGCCACCAAATATTCAAATCACAAGAGTTACTTTAAAAAACAATCAATTTTGAAGTATAATTTAATATAACAAAAGGCATCCACTTCAAGTGCATAGTTTGATGCATTTTAACAAATGTATACATCCTTACTACAAGATATAAGACATTTTCAACTCTCTGTCAGTTGCCATTATCAGCCTCAGACATTCGCTGATCTGCTTTATGACTCCATATCTTAGTTTTTACTGTTCTTAAATTTCATATAAATTAAATTATGCTATATAATCTCACTCATATCTGCCTTCTTTTGCTGAGAAAAACATTTTAAAAAATTATTAATATTGTACTGAGTATTATATTTAATACTTTTTATATTATCATATTTAATACCTTTAATATAGTATTATATTTAATACCTTTTCTTTAATCTATAGTTTTCCATTGTAGAGATATAACAAGATTTGTTTATATATTTTCTTCTTGATAGACATTTGGCCTGTTTTCAATATTTGGCTATTATAAATAAATATGCTATGACATTCATATACATTCTTCGAAGACACATTTTCATTTTTCTTAGGCAAATACCTGATAGTAGAAGTGCACAGTTTTACCATTTTACAATTATATCGGCAATATAAAAGAGATATTGTTTTTAATTGTAGCCATTCTAGTGTTTTTATAATGGCATCTCTTTGTGGTTTTAATTTGCTTTTCGATGGTGACAAATGATGACAACACAGTGTGGTTCTTCTTATATCTGGTAAAGTATCTGTTCAAATCTTTTGACCTTTATTGAATTGTTTACATTCTGAGCATTATTTTCTCCCAGTCTGTAGCTTGCTTTTATTTTTTTTCTTAATGGTGTCTTTATGACTAATTATAAATTTATTAGTTATTATGTGGTTATAATAATTTATTAGTGTTGCAGCCTAACAAATCATTGCCCACCTCAATGTCACAAAATTTTCTCTCTTGTTTTCTACTGGAAGAGTTAAAGTTTTAGCTATATACTTTTAAAATCTGTGTTCCAAATCAAGTTAAATTTTGTATATGGTGAGAGATAAAAGTTGAGGTTCATTCGGTTGTTTTAGTACCAATTGCTGAAAGACTGTCCTTCAATTCATTGAATTACTAAGTGTACTTTGTTAAAAATCAATCAACCATACATGTCTAGGCCTTTTTCTGGGGCCTCTGTTGTGTTCTACTGTTCACTAAATCTACCCTTATGTATATCTTAGTTGTTGTGCTTTTATAATAAGTTTTGAAATCAGGGAATGTAACTCCTTCAACACTGTACTTTCCCCCAAAACAGTCTTTTCATTATTCCAGGCATTTAGACCATTTATCATAAAAGTTAACCATGACGTGAGGTACTGCTCAAGTCACCATGCTGCTATCCAGTTGCTTTGTTTCTCCATTGAGTTGCTGTTTTATAAACCCTGTGAATTTTTTCAAGTGTTTTTCTACTGGAGCATTTCAAACATTCATTTCAATGTTTAGAACTCCTTTGAGCATTTCCTGTAGTGCCAGTCTAGTGGTGACAAATTCAGTGTTTGCTTATCTTGGAAAAGACTCCTTCGTTTATGAAACAGTTTTGCAGATCACAAAATTCTTGGCTGCCAGTTATTCTGTTTGAAGAGATTAAAGATAGGACCCTGATCCTTTCTGGCTTATAAGGGTTCTGCTGAGAAAACTAATGTGATAGGTTTGCCTTTGTAAGTTATTTGATGTTTTTATCTCTGCTCTTAGAATTCTTTCCTTCATATTGACTTTAGATAGCCTGAACTATATGCCTTGAAGATGTCCTTGTTGCAGTGAATCTTCCAGGAGTATTTCGGGCTTCTTATATCCACACGTCTAAATTCTAGCAAGAGCAGGGACATTTCCTCAATTATTCCCTCAAATAGGTTTTCTAAGCCTGTTGCCTTTTCTTCTTCAGGAACACGTGATTCTTAGGTTTGGCCATTTTCCATAATTTCACATTTCTTGGAGACTTTGTTCACTTTTGAAAAATTCTTTTTTCTTCAATTTTGTCTGATTGGGTTAATTCAAAAGCTTTGTCTTCAACTTCTGAAATTCTTTCTTCTACTTGGTTCAGTCTATTATTAAAACTTTCCACTGCATTTTGTAATTTCCTAAATGAGTCTTTCATTTCCAGAAGTTCAGTCTGGTTGTTTTTTTAAATATCTATCTTTTTGGAAAATGTTTCTTTCATGACATGAATAGTTCTCTTTTTTAACTTTTATATTTCTTTTTTTTTTTTTTTTGAGTTGGAGTCTCACTCTGTCACTCAGACTGGAGTGCAGTGGCCGCTCCCGGCCACTGCAGCCTCGACCTGCTGGGCTCCAGCAATCCTTCCGCCTCAATCTTCTAAGTAGCTGGAACTACAGGCATGCGCTACCATGCCTGGCTAATTTTTTTTATTTATTGTTGAAATGAGGTCTTGCCAAGTTGCCCAGGTGGGTCTCGAACCCGCGGGCTCAGGCAATCCACTCACCTCAGCCTCCTAAAGCACGGGATTACAGCTGAGCCACCGAGCCCAGTCAACTTTTATATTTCTTTATGTTGGTTTTCAACTTTCTCTTGGATCTCATTGAACAACTTTATAGTGAACTTTTTGAATTCTTTATCTGGTATTTCAAAAATTTCATCTTGGTTTGAATCCATTGCTGGAGGGTTAGTGTAGTCTTTTGGAGAAGTTGTAAAACTGTTCTTTCATATTACCAGGATTATTTTCCTGGTTTCTTCTCATCTACATAGATTCTTCTTCTTACTATTTTAATTTTTATTTTGGATTTGACTTTGTGTGTGTTTGTTTTTGTTGTTGTTGTTGTTTTCTCTTGAGGATATGACTTTAATGTGTATAGCTTATGACCGTCTAGCTTCAGCTCTGGTGCTTTCAGTGGCAACAGCTCTGTATGAGTTCCTGGAGCAGAGAGAATCTTGTGCATTGGCTTCTCAGATGCTGCTTGAAGTAGAGTTTTTGGGTGTGTGTGTATAGGTTCACTGTCGCTGGTGGAACTAGAATGCTAGAAGTCTCATGAAGATTATCTCATTCCCCAGGAGGTGAGATGTGCTCCTTTTTTTTCCCAGTATTTTTTTCACTGGGTCAAACCATACAGGATTCAGGCCATTCAGAGGCACCCATGAGTGAGAACTGACTACAGCCGAAGTAGGTGGATATATGCAATGCCCTCACAGTAGGTAGTAGTTGTTTTTGCAGAATCCATGTCATTTTCTATGTACAATATTATGTGTGCATACGAACAATTTTCTTTTTCCTTTCAAATATGTATACTTTTTTTTTCCTTACAGTATTCTATTGTTTGCTCCAGTGCCAATGGGGGTAAGGAACAGGGTTAATTACAAAATAATAATAATAATAACTTTTTGGGGTGATGGAGTAATAGTTCTCTATCTTGGTTGTGGTATAGATTATATGACCACATGCATTTCTCAAAATTCCTAGAACTATACACCCTCATCAGGGTAAATTTTATTATATGTAAACTGTACCTCAATAAACTGCCAAAAGAAGAGATAATTTAAGGCAGCGATACTTACACTGCTCTATAACAGTAATTATTCTCAGAGTTCCTGGAATATTTAATCAATGGTTTACTGTTTCAAACTATCTAAACCGAAAGCACAAGTCAACTCTCAGATTCTGTCAGATATTCACAATGACATAGTAGTATATACATCAAATACATATTGCTAATCTGCCTCTACTTTTAATTTAAAAAGCATTTTTTCATACATTTGAAATAAAATTATTACATCTTAGTAAAATAATAAGTAAGGCTAATATTATGTGCCCTTAATAATGCTGATGAAAACTTATGATTAACTGATGTTTCAGCAGAAAAATAACTTAATTGTTTTAAATTAATATAATATGGTAAGATGTTTGAAAAGAATATATCTAGAAGATAAATTACCTGTGTACCTGGATTTGAAGGAATCAATATAGCAAGCAGCATCATTCTCTTTAATGCCCATCTGCTCTCCCAAAGACTTAGCTCCCATTCCATAAATGATTCCATAGCAAATCTGAAAGGGAGTCATCCTCCTCAGTAAATAAAGGTCATAACTACATAAAATGCAAATATAAAGAGTTTATTGTGACTGACATTTTGGCGAACTTTTTATTTCACAATGAGTCAAAGAAATGATTAGATCTGCTATTGGTGGGATAGATCCACAGAGGCTGACATCCAGCAAACATCTTTACTGCTTTTCAGCATTACTTTCTGAAAGAGAGAGAAAGAAGAAGGGAGCCAGGCAGAGAATATGAATGAATGAGTGTGTGTGTGTGTGTGTGTGTGTGTGTGTGTGTGTGTGTGATGTAAGGAAACATTTATTCTGACTATTCATCCTTTACCCAGCAGTCTTTAGAGTAGCTTTTTATTCTTCACACTACTTCATTAACTCCCACTTAAAGAAATGCCTAGGCGCCAGGGAAGAGGATATAAGCATTCCTTTCCTCATCCCTGGACAGGACTGGAAAAGCAGGAAGAATAGGCTCTGTGGCTTGATAAAAGGTAAGATGTCACTGGAAATAAAGATGCTCTTCACCTCACAGTCACCTGAAATCCCACAAAAGCAAGAGTTCATTTCACTTAAATACAAACAAAAACTCCTGAGAAAATCTTGGGAGCGGTGGAGGGAGATGGACTAAATAGGCCACTAAAGAAAGTTTAAGTCAATCACGAGTACTGCCTGAGTTCAAAACCTAGTTCCACCATTCATTCACAAACCACCTAACCTCTTTGTGTCTCAATTTCTTCACCCATAAAATGAGCATGGTAAGACTTATGTCATGGGATTGTTAGGATTAATCGAGTTATTACTTGTAACTGTTTAGGAAACTGCTTGAGATAAAACAAGATCTGTATAAAAAGTTGTTAAATAAAATCTGAAAAGATAACGTACAAAATGATTATGGTTGTAAAAAATGATTATCAGAATCCCAAAAAAGTTTGAATATGATAAGTCAGTTAGAGGGTCCCCACTACATTTTTAACACATTGAGAGAGGTGTTGTTTTTTTTTTCTCCTTTTTTCTTTTCCTTTTCTTTTATGCTGTATTTTGTTGTGACTCCTACTGGTTTTTTTTTTTTTAATTCATATTATTTCGTGTATTCTGAGATCTCAGCAAGATTCAGGGATTAGGTGATTCAATGCATGATGACATAGGGAAAAATTGATATAACATAAACACTATTAAATCATGCAAGAACTTATTAAATAAAGGCAACTATCACAAGGGAATAAATGTGTGGGTTAGAGAATCAGAGTGCCCAAGTTCTCACATTATAAACTCATCCTGGTCCACCACTTATAGCTATGTGACTTTAAGCAAATTATGCAATTTCTGTGCCTCAGTTTTCTCCTCTATAAAATGGGGACAGAAGCAATTATACCTATCTCATAGGTTGATTATGAGAATTAAATGTGAAAATATTCTTTATTTTCATCTAGGGTTTGATTCTTGCTAAACGCAAGATTCTGGGGGGGCTTAAATAGACAGAGAGGACAAAGCTGGCTTCCTGAATAGTGGAAAAAGCAAGTGTTGGTGCTAAATAGGCAGTGCCAAGAGGCAGGCTCTCATGCTCACTGATCTAGTTAACAATCACAGCTGTGAGTAACGAGAAGTGTAACTCTAAAATTAATGCAGCAGGATCTGAGTGGGGTGATGTGCCTGTGCCTCAGCCAGCAACCCGGCTCTCTTACAAATGGCATTGGCTTTCCCACAGGTGATGTAGTAAGGAAGGATCAGTGTTAATGCAGGCCAGGATGAGAAAGCCAAAGGCCAGGCCAGCGGTAAAAATGTGGCCTTTGACTTTCTCTATGCCTAAGAGTCACTCAGGAGTAGAAATTAATGACTCCATTTTAAAGGTACAAGAGCAGAATGAAGATGCTTCACAAGTGGGTTAACTAACCAATAGCCTCAAAAGCTAAAAAGCTATCTGTTATTAACTACAATCCACAGCTCAGCTATATTTTTTTCAACAAACATTTAAAAGGTACCTTCTATACAAAGCACCATTGCTTGATGCTGTAAGAAAATATAAAAATTAGAATACAGAACTTTATTTCAGAACACTTATAGACCAGAAAGAGATTTCATATATATAAATATACATATGGATATATGGACACACACACTCACATAAATAACATAAATATATATAAATATACATATGGATTTCATATATATAAATATACATATGGATATATGGATACACACACTCACATAAATAACAACCACCATAACAACATCAACTGCTTCTCAGTAATCATCTACTGAGTACCAGGCACTGTGACTAGCCATACTATGGCTTTAAATGTATATAGCTTTCCTGAAACTAAGTAACCTCTGACCTTAGTCTTCCTGGTTCTTTCTACTGCCTCTATGAAAGAAAGTATAATACCATGAAATAGGCTCAGATGAAATGTGGTTTGAAAGATTTAAAGATTCAACTTCAAATAATTGAGGCAATTAAAATTTTTTTTGACTCATCAAATTCTCATCATTTACATAAAGCACGTTCACTAAGATCACCTGCTTTGCTTGCTGCCTCAGATCATCCCCAACACACTCTGGCTCAATCATCTTCCATTCTGCCGCAATGCTCCTGAAAACATCGGCTCCAGTGTTTAATACGTGAATGAGACGACAGTCATGGGATAAATGGGCCAAAATCCTCAATTCAAGCTGAGAGTAATCAGCAGCCAATATTAAACCACCTGCAGTAGAAATGATTTTGGGAAAACTAGTACAAAGTTCTATATAAAATCATCCAAGTTCTATATAATACAATGGAGGATCCAGAATTTATTTATTTAAAAATTGTGTATTTATTCTTATATGTTTAACCTTCAGTTACCTTCAAAATACTCCATTTGATGTAATACACCTATCGAGATGCTTTTTTCACTGTTCAAAAGTTTTTGAACTCATCGATTTTGATGCCTTTTAGTGCTTCCGCCATTTTTTGTTTGATCTCTTCCACATCAGCAAAACATTTCCTTTTGAGGACTTTTTTCATCCGGGGAAACAAAAAACGTCACTTTGGGTGAGTTTCAATGAATGGGGAGGGTGGGGCACAGGGGCCACGCCATTTTTGGTCACAAACTGCTGAACGGGCAACCCACTTTCGGGTCCCCTCTAGCTGCAGAGAGCTTTCCTATCTTCTAATAAACTCCGACTTGCTCACTCAAAAAACAAAAACTTCTGAACACTCAGCGCAACATGAGCAGGTGCACTTGTAAATCACTTGTAATGAAATGGGCAGATGCATTGAAAGATTCTCCTAAAAAAAAAAATTCACTGAGGCGGAATGCAGCCTTGCACAATGCTAGCTGGTACCCTGGTGCAGATGGGTTCCTAGAACACTCACCTTGCAGTGAGTCTGTACTAGAAGGGGTCCACTCTCCAAAAAAATAATTCCAGTGTGTTTTGGGTCCCCCTCATCCATCTGAGCAGAATGACAGATATTTAGTTACAACCTAGAACCGTGAGATGTGTTCAAAAGTTAAAACCATGCCCTTAAAAATGATGCAATTCAGCTCTGTATCTTAAGTCATTTTTTTTTTTCATTTAGCTTTCAAGTAACATGGGTAAGGCTACCCCTGACATCTGCCCCCTAACTATAGTGAGTACTTTTCTCAGTGTTCCTATATAATCTAAAATGGTTCTTTCATGCCTCTCCCATGTGGTACTGAGTCCTTAAGGGTATATGAAACTTAATTTTCCTTTTCATTTTACAGAAAACCTTGCTGAGTTCCTAGTACATAATAGGCCCTTAACAAAGGGTTATTGAATGAATTAATTACTCAATTAATGGAGAAAATGATGTCGAATGTGTGCAAGTGTTAAGTGGACTAGAGAGAAACATGTGTTTGCTTTGAGACTAACATATTCAATGAAAAAATCAAGTGGTTAACAGGTGAGAAAGAGTAATTAAGAGAATTAAGATAATTAACCTATAGATTAGAAATGGGTGGGTTAAATATGCATGGCAAAACAAAATAAAACTTAAAAATACAGAGTCACAAAAAAGGTAGGAAAAATATTTGTGATTGATATCACAAAGGATTCATTGCCACATTATAAAAAGTGTTGCTATAAATCAAGAACACAACAAACTATAAATAAGCAGTTCAGACATACTAAAATCAAAAGAACCTTAAACATATTAAAGAATGTTCAACTTCATTCATAATAAAAGAAATGCAAATTAAATATATAGCAAGAAATAATTTTTCTCTATTGCAAAAATTCCAGAAGCTGGACAACACTTTCTTGATAAGACTGGAGGGAAAAAGAAAAAAAAAACTTGTATGTTGCTACTGGTAAGTCAAAAGCTAACCTCCTCTCCATTAGTTGGTAACTTAACAATATCTGCGACTCAGCAAATAAGCTCTCAGATTGCTACACAGATTATCTGCACATAGTTTAAACTGACCTATGTTCAAATTTCCTTACTGGTAAGTATAAGTCTCTAATATAAAAACATTACATGAAAAAAGCAAGGTATATAACAGTGTACACAGAATGATAAATTTTTGTAAGAATAGAGGAAGAAAAGACTGCATACTCATATTTGCTTATATCTATAAAGAGACATACTGTCAGAATATATAAGAAACTCACATATGTAGTAACCTTTAAGAACTGGATATAGTAGGATAGATAGATAAGGAAGGAAGCAAGGCTTCTCAATATATACCTTTTACATTGTTTTAATTTTGAAATCGTGTGAATGAATAACCTACTCAAAAATATGTAAATACTAATTTAAAATACAAGTTGAGTACCCCTAATCCAAAACGTCAAAATTCAAAATGCTCCAAAATCTAAAACTTTTCAAGCACCAAGACACTCAAAGGTTATATTCAAAGGAAATGTTAATAAGGCATTTCGGATTTTAGATTTTTGGATTTTGAATTAGAGATGCTCAACCAGTACAGACAATATAAATACTCCAAAAAAAAAAAAATCCAAACTCCAACACATCTGGCCCCATGCATTTCACGTAAGGGATACTCAACCTGTAAACGACCACAACTTTGATGGCCTTCCTACCATAAATGACCATAAAACTGGGCAAAATATATGAAAACACTGTTCTCAGATGTTAGACAACAGCCCACACAGAACTATAACCAACAAGAAGGGGGTGAAACGAGGTGAAGTGCATGAAGGTCTCAGGTATCTGAATGGAGGCACTTTCCAGAAAGCACAGCAGGGAAGGGGAGCCGAAACAAAGCACTATGATGCTCTCTCTCCGAGCTAAGGGAAAGAGTCTAGAACTTGAGCCCATGAGACAGCCAGAATGTGTTAGAGAAATACTCACAGAAATCCCATTGGATTTTTAGCCAAATACTAAGCTGTGCAGAGAGAAAGTACAGGGGGCCAGGCAAAGAACAAACACTGAAGAAATAATGATTGCTAAAGGAAGAACAACCATTACATAGCTGCCAGCTGAACAACTACAAAGTGGCGAAAGATGAATTCAATCTGAATGATTTTTTTCATAAATCAATGTAACAAAATATAATGGCTTATTAAATATTTTATGTTCGCTGTACGAGTTACAATTATACCTATGTAAACTGTAGTTGGTAATACATTTTAAATACTTGTTATTATACTTTTAATTATAACACAATTATTTTCTATCAAAAAAATAAGCATGTTTACTGGGCACAGTCTTTAAGGCCTGGTAGTGGCTCACACCTATAATCCCAGCCATTTGGGAGGTCAAGGTGGGAGTATTGCTTGAACCCAGGAGTTTGAGGCCAGCCTAGGCAACATAACAAGACTTCATCTCTACAAAAAATCAAAAAATTAGCCAGGTGTGTCGGCGCACACCTATCATTCCCCCTACTGGGGAGGCTGAGGCAGAAGGATTGTCTGAGCCAGGAGGTCGAGGTCGAGGCTGTGGTCAGTCATGATCACACCATTGCACTCCAGCCTGGGCAACAGAGTGAGACCCTGTCTCTAAAATTAATCTTAAAAAATTTTCAATTAAAAAAATTAAAGAATAATTGTGGACAGGCCAGGTGCGGTAGCTCACGCCTATAATCCCAGCACTTTGGGAGGCTGAGGTGAGAGGATGCCTCAGCCCGCAGGTTCAAGATCAGCCTGGGCAACTTGGTGAGACCTTATCTCTATAATAAATAAATAAATAAATTTATTTTTTATGGTGGTACAAGCCTCTAGTTCCAGCCACTTGGAAAGCTGAAGTGGAAGGATCATCTGAACCCAGCAGGTCAAGGCAGCGGTGGCCATGAGTGTGAGTGTGCCACTGCACTCTAGCCTGGGCAACAGAGTGAGACTCTGACAAAAAAAAAAAAAAGAAAGAAAAGAAGAAGAACAAGAAGAACTGTGGACCAGTTCTAAAATTTAATACAAAGGTATACAATCGATAAAAAATTGAGTGCACATGCAGAAGCCAGTACTACAACTGAAACAGTGAACAGTCTAGAAGAAACAGTGTCACAAATTTCTGACAGATGGTAAGAGCAATTTGCTGCAGCAGATCTAAGTAAAAAGTCTGTTTCTACAGAAAAAAATAAAAAGTTTTAAAGGTAACAAAGTAAATAATACCAAGAGATATGCTCAGCAAATACATCATAAATTTGATTAAGTTTCTATTCAATAGTTAAAAAAAAAGAAGCAATTAATCACCTGAGACCAGAATTAAAAGCCTAACAAAATCTTTTTAAAACAATTTTCCACATGATATGAGTCTGTAACTTTGGTCAGGTTAAAAAAAAATATTTCTTGCATAAAAAAGATAACATTTTTAGACACAAAGATGGTTAAAAAATATTATTTCAGCTGGGCCCAGTGGTTCACACCTATAATCCCAGCACTTTGGGAGGCAGAGGGGAGAGGATTGCCTGAGCCCACAGATTTGAGACCAACCTGGGCAACATGGCGAGACCTCGTCTCTACAATTAAAAAAAAAAAAAACACTAGCTGGGCATGATGGCGCATGTCTGTAGTTCTAGCTACTTGTAAAGCTGAGGTAGAAAAATTGCCTGAACCCAGCAGGTCGAGGCTGTGGTGACTGTGAGTATGGCACTGCACTCCAACCTGGGCAACAGAGTGAGACTCTGACTCAAAAAAATAAAAAGTAAAAAATACACACACACACACGCACACGCACATATATATATATATTATTTCAGGTATGGAAATTTTGTTTAAAACTTATATGGAAAATACTACAACAGGCATAATTATCCTTCTCTACTCAACAAAATTTATTCGTAACCCCAGCCAGTATTCAAGGGGCTTTCATGGTCATTCATGGACATGGGTGCAGAGAGGCAAAAAGTCTAAGCATCAGATAAGTATGTTCCCTGATGAAGTTGAATGAGGCAACACTTGGCCCTTTTTGATACATAATAATTGTACATATTTATGGGTTAATGATGTTTCAATATAGACAATGTATAGAGATCATATCTATCATTTCCAGTAATAAATTTTTGTGTTGACAATATTCAATATCCTCCTTCTAAATACTTGCAACTAAACAACATACTGTTGTTAACTGTAGTCATCCCACAGTAGTATAGAACACCAGGACTTATTTTGTGTCCTTTAACAAATCTCTTTCTATCTCCTCCTTCCCAGGCTCTAGTATCCTCTCTTCTACTTTTTACTTCTAAGATTGAGTGAGAACATGTAGTTTTTAGCTTTCCACTCCTAGCTTATTTCTCTTAACATCATGCAAAGCTCTGCCTTCTCTCATTCCATAAACAAGCATCCTTCTCATGGTCTAGTTAGTGTCACATTTTTCACATTTTGCTTTTTGTTGGTGATTCCCAAGTGCAGACTGAAAGGCTGCCTGGTATTCCTAAATACAAGAAGTCTGTGATGTCCCTTACAGAGAATATATGTGTGTTGGGTAAGTTTTTAGACAGTAGTGCTGTTGGCTGCAAGTTCAAAGTTAATGCATTAACAATATACATTAAATGAAGCACCTTTAAACAGAAACATACTTTAAAACAAAGTTATATACTGATTGGCTGAAGAAAATGCTTGAACAGTGGCTCTTAGAACCTAATCCCATATTTCCCTAGGAGCAATGCGTCAGTATTCGTTAATTCAGTGTCCACAAAGAATGCAACTACCATGAATAACAATCACATTTTACAAAAAGCAAAAGATCTTAAAATAACCCATCAAGCAATTATGCATAAAAGACCTTTCTAACAATATCATAGGTCAACTGAGTTGCAAATACTTTTGTTTAGTTTTAGGTGAGTTGTTCCATAAAAGATAAAGTGTCCAGTTAATATTTTAGATAGGCTTTGTCAGTTTTACAAAGAAAATTTCAATCCTGGCTTACAAAATCAAACTAATGGTATAGATATTCTGGAAACTTTTTACATTTATCAAAGAAGAATTTCAGCTAGATTTGAAAAAACAGTTTTTATCATGATAGTGCTCCAGCTTTGCATTAAAAAAACTGAGATTTCTTAGAATTTTAAATATAAGACTGATGTTTCCCTATTGTTTCATTCCACTGTATAATATATATTGAAAAGATTTGTGCTCAGTTTTCTGAATTAGAATATTAAAAGTCTCACTGATACTTCCATGTATGCATCAAACACTGAGGCACCCTCAGTTTAAGGAACTGTTGAAAAAAAACGAAAACAATGAATTTAATGATCTTGTGTTCTCTGTTAAGGCTCAGTGTTTTATTCATAAAAGAGTTTTACAAGATGTAACATACTGTCAACTCCGATTTTTAATATTTTCTTGAAACAGAAGGAATGCTTGACAAATATTCAGTAATCAAAGACAAAAGATGGCAATGTGATTTATGTTTTCTGATATCACACAGCATATATTTGAGGTACTAAGAAAGGGAAAAACTTATTTGTGACCACTAGTCAGGTATGAGAACTTACTTGGAAATGGAAATTTTTCATAAAATAAAATCAATAATAATCATTTTATACACTTTTCAAACATGAATCAAAATGATTTTATGATTTTTCAAGCATGATTCAAATATGAATCAAACATAAATCAAAATTATAATCAAAAGCATTATGTAAACAAGCTGCAAATATAAAAAAATTATGAAGAATGCTCTGATGTTGCTAATTTTAGAATTGCTTTTTTTTATTTAGACAGAGTTTCATTCTGTCACCCAGACTGGAGTGGCATAATCACAGCTTACCTGAGACTCCAACTCCTGAGCTCAAGTGATCCCACTGCCTCAGGCTCCTGAGTAGCTGGAACTACAGCAGGCATGGTGGCATGCACCTGTAGTCCCAGCTACTTGGGAGGCTGAGGCAAAGGATAACCTGAGCCCCAGGAGGTCAAAACTGCTGTGAGCCATGATCATGTCACTGCACTTCAGCCTGCGCAAAAGTGAGACACTGCCCCCTCAAAAAAATCCCAAAAAACAGCAAAATTGAAAGTTGACAAGGTCATGTTATCATATACCTGAATTCATCTTTGCAATATAAGTTTCTGATGAAATTTAAATAAATTCAGATAGCTAATTGCACTTATCTAGACTCTACATATACTAATAGTAGGGATGATCTAGGAGTCAGATCAGGACTTCCAAATGTTTTGATAACAAAAATGTGAATGCTTAAAGTGCTCAGGAAAATGGTCAGGCAGAATGAGGACAGCTATAGGGACCACCCATGCAATAGGAAGCAGCAGTACTAAGAAAAGGAGGAGAAACACAAAAGCAAATCAAGTCAAAGAGACAAAAATATTGTGTTCTTAGAAGTCAAGGGAGGAAAGAAACTGAGGAAGGAGAGAGCTGACTGACAATAACATATGCTGTTGAGTGGGAACCGGGCCACACAGAGGAGGTGAGCGGCAGGCAAGTGAGCTCAGGCTTCTGTCAGATCAGTGGTGGCATTAGATTCTCACAGAAGCATGAACACATTGTGAACTGTGCATGCAAAAAAATTATCTTCCACAAAACCAGTTCCTGAGGCCAAAAAGATTGGGGACCACTACATAGAGAAGTCAAAGAGGCTGAAGATTGACCCAATCCTTTAGCTTTTGCACAGCAGTTCACAGTGACCTTGGAAAACATGGTTTCAGCAGACTGCTGCTGCTGTTAAGCACACACCACAGAAGTCTCACACAGAGTATATCATGGAGACAAAGATGACTGAGTGCTATAAACCTGGTGAAACAAAGAAGAAAGGCTCTGCTGTAGACAGACAGGAAAGATAGAGGAACCAATGCACACTTTTGAGTCTCATGCATAGTATTTTGAGCCTCATCAAACATTCACACAGCAATGAGAAGCTGTGTGAATCATCAGCCACCTTACCTGGGAAAGGCACAAAGGCATGTCGCATGCTAACCGAAAATGGCATTCCTCTGTCTGAGGCTCTCTCCTCCATCTGTACCTGGTACCCGGGGTTCAGGTTACAACCTTTCTTATTTCGTCCTCTGTGGTGAAAACATCATCATCAGTTGGACATGAAGCAATGTCAAATATATGAAAAAGGTCTGATTTTCAGTAAAGTCACTATTTTATCTTAGACTCACTTTAAAGCTTAACAAGGATACTAGATCTCTTTTAGCAAACATTCAATTAAACACCGAGACATTTCTGTAACAACCTTCCTACAAACTATTTCTGGGATAATTCATATCATTTAGCTTAACAAATCTTTTTGATCATAAATTATCTGTGCTTTTTCTTCCTTTTATGTATATATAGGGTAGGGAGGATGTCACTGACATTGCTAAACTCTTCTCTTTAGTTTTTTATTTTTTAAATATGGGGTCTTGCTGTGTTCCCCGGGCTGGATTCAACCTTTTTGCCTCTAGCAATCCTCCCACCTCGGCCTCCTGAGTAGCTGAGACTATAGGCATATGCCTGTCTCCTTAAATATTGACTGAAATAAGTATATATAGTATTAGTTGACTTAACTAGTGGTTCAGGTTTTCAGTCTTTCACTAGCAATTAGCCTCTTTACAGACAGACTCAGGATTTGAAATGGGTAATGCCTAGAACAGAAGTGGGTGTCTGGAACATAAAATTAAACTAATTACGTTATTTTCTCTATTCAGCTACTTTGGGCCCATTCATACTCACAAAAGTATATTAATGAAGATAAAGAGAAACAGTCTACCTGCCCATAGGAAGTAGGCCTTTGCCTATGGGTTGGGAAGGTGGGCTTTCTCCTACCAGTGTTGGCATTTTGATCTCAAAATCTCTTGGCACATTCTGAATATTTGGTTCTGTAAAGGCTATTCGCCCTAAAATCAGAAAGAATAAAGACATAAAATTAGAACAAAAATGCTATTTAACAGCATTTGCATTTCTGAATTATCTTAAAAATACATGCCCTATCAATGTAAATGAAAATGAATTTATATTTAAATAGCATTTTTCATCATGTCCATGTGTCTAAAAATGGTAAGTACAAGTCCATCCCAACATAAATGGATATATGAATCAGCTATAATATGATACTTTATATTAACCTAGCTCTCTAGAAAACAATCCCACGATAAGAAGTAATTTGAAAAACTGAACTATCCCACAGTAAAATGAGTACCAGATGTCAGCACCATAACATGTCAGCAGTCATATTAATGAGTAAAAGCTAGTCAAATAGATCTTAGGAGAAATGATCACTGAAGCCTATAAAAGTCCATCACTTTCAGATATTACCAAGCTGATTTTTTTCATCTGTATTCATCAAGAGAATCAACAATAGCACTGACTAGGAAGTACCGAATCAGGTGGAAACTAGAATCAGGTGGTTAGTAATAACTTTTCTCGTAAACAGAGAGCTATTTTTAAAAATGCAGATAAAACCTTTATTTCCCCCAAAATATTTTACATTTTATTTGTTTCCTTATTGGTTGTGTTACTCGGAAACATATAAGCATTGTTCAAAAAAACTTGTGCAATTAATAACATATACAGCAACAGTAATTGACACACTCTTTTATGACACACTTCTGTTTTATGACACACTCTTCGTTGTAACAGGCAGTCTACTAGCTATTATAAATAACTCTATCTTGAATCAGACATTTTAACAGTGTCTTGGACATTGCTTTTCTGAATGAACCCCTGATATTATGTCCTTGTTATTTAGCATTTAGCACAAAATAAGTGGTCAATTAACAACAACTTTTAATACAATTGTTATCATTAAATGGCCTGTTCAATGTTACAAAGCTAGCACATAACAGAGGAGGGTGTCCAAGGCGCTTTCTATATCAGCACATTGTTTTCTTTTCTACAGTAGGACTTAATATTCAGCACACTGCCCTGGTCTATTAGCTGAATTAATGAGGTAACACTGGCCGACAAGTAAGATGGTAAATTACAAAGCACAAATACAGCTTAATGACTATGAATTCTAATCATGATATGGCTTTGCTATGCCTACGTAAGTTTGTATTTCTAAAATAATATTATAAAGATTATAAAATACTAAAATATTGTGTTGGGGGGGGTTTTGTATTCCACCTTTTAAATTTTATTTCTTCACCATGTTTTCTTAAGCTTTGGTCCTCTCCCCTATCTTGGGGAGGTGAATCTCCTCTTTCTCTCTCTCTCTAATTTACTTTCTCAATAAACTATATTTTCTTTTTCTTTTTTTTTTTTTTTTTTGAGTTGGAGTCTCACTCTGTCGTCCAGAGTGGAGTGCAGTGGCCACTCCCGGCCACTGCAGCCTCGACCTGCTGGGCTCCGGCGATCCTTCCACCTCAGCCTTCCAAGGAGC